ATTTTCTCAAGTTACATAAATGTAGCTTTTTTACAATGACATTTTAAAAGTACTTCTGCAAGGTAAAAAAAAAAAATTCAGTAGTAGTTAAAGGATTATAAATAAAACTCGTCAGTTCTCTCTGCCACACCCTCCTCATCCAGCCCCATTGCAAGGGACAGCTGCTTTTGCACAGCTCTTATTCGACTGTGTTCTGGTTAATAGTTTTGAACGTTAAATCTCTGTGATAGAAAATGAACTGGGAGTAGACTGTGGCAACACTTCACATTCTCCTTTCTACTCCTTCCTCCTTCCTCTTCACTAATACAGCTATAACTTGAGCTATCAAGTTCTACTACAGTTTTAAACGGCAAATCGTGTGTACTGTGGAGTGCTTAAGAAGATAATGAACAACTGTTAGTCTGTAGCTAGCTAGGCTGGAGTTGTGCAGGACCAGTAATCATATTGGGCAGACAGGTGAAAACAAGGTCCGGTAGCTCATTTGTACATTAACCTCTTCCATTCCTATTTGTGTGGTATTTTAAGTAGCAGCTATTTCACTTAGGAAACCTATTTGATCACAGCAGAAGCCTGCAGCTAGGCTGACTCATTTCTTTAGTTCACAATCAAGGAACTAGATTCTTTGATTTCCCATGTAATATTAACTAAGAATGTTGCCCCTATGTTCAGTTGTATCTCCATTAGAATGTTAGGTTGGCTTCTTCAGGTATAGTTGTTAAGTGCAGTGTTTAAGACAAGATTCTTTCTTATATGTTATCTCTTGGTGCATACTCATGGAAACCTCTAGCAAATTACTGAGCAATTTCATTGGCCAGAATCATTGCTTCAGAGTTCCATTTATAGATCAACTTATGACAAGAATGGAATTGTAGAGGTAGATAATATCTGAGGTTCGTTAGGGAGGAACTAGAAGGATAGTCAGTGGATAGTCAGCCAATAGTGTCTTCATGGTCAGATTCTCAGTGGAAAGTATTAGCAACGGTATTTCCAGTAACCAGGCCACTTTGTTTTGAAAAAAAAAAAAATAGTAGAAAGGGAGTTATTTGAAGTTAAAAATCTTTATATCTTTGAATGTCCATTAGTACTTAAATATCTGAAAAGGATGTTTGTAATGTAGGCACAAAAGGTGGACTAAGATACACCATTTCTCTTCAGTTTGATTGTAATTATTGAGCCTACACTTTTGTACTTCCTTGGAGCAAAGCCTTATCGAGTAAGTACAATATTTGCAAAAGATTTCAGTAGTCATCTTAAAGAGCATTACCATTGGTTCATTTTAAAATAAGGCTAGTCAAATGACAAATGTGGACTTTTTCTAAATCTAAATTTCAGTAGCCCCTGGAAAGTGCTGTTTCGTTCTTTCTTTTATGTGCTCCTTTCTTATTGCACAGATGTTTGAGATCTAGATATAATAATTGTCAACTCTAGTGAATTTGAATAAGACTCGTTTTTCTAACAGAATTCCGATTTTTTAAAAACTTTCTCCCCCTTAGTTGTCTTCTACTTCCAGGTTCCCATGTTTGTATTTAAAGTTTGAGAATCTATCACTGAATATAGAAGTGTAACTAGTGGTTAAGAGCACTGACTGCTCTTCCAGAGGATCCAGGTTCCATTTCCTGCACCCACATGGCAGCTCACTACTGTCTGTAACTCTAGTTCCAGGGGATCTTATGCTCTCATACAGACATACAGGCAAACACCAATGCATAAGAAATAAAAATAAATCATAAAATTACATTAAAAAGAAGTGTAACAGAATTTTAGCTCTGTAACAATATTATATAGAATTTTAAAATTATTTTATACTAGTTTCCTAAAGTAATTTAGTGAACCAACAGAAAAACACCCCAGTAAGCTGTTCGTATTAATATAAGTATAACATATACAGTGCTTTCAGCCCCTTGCTGTCTGATTACAGAGTATAGAAAATTTTCAAGACCCCTAGCTTATCTCTAGGATTGACATTTTGTGTATGTGTGTGTGTGAATCTGTGTGTGTGTGTATATAGTTTTGCTTTTCTAAGCTAGTTTAAAACATTTCATAGTGAATCTGTTTGCTATTTAATTTGAGGTTGATGCTGTTTCTTAGAATGGTTGCTTTGAGCTTTTTTTTTAACAATTAACTTAAGAAATAATACTGTAGTCATTATTAAGTAAACCCTCAATTTTGTATTTTCTGTATATATACGTATTTTCTAGTGATCATTATTATAAGTATAACATTAATAGCAATGTCAAATACCAAGGCCAATTTTCAGTGAGGTAATACATAACTCAAAATTTGTGGTTTTTTATGATGTATATATAAAGACAATTCCTAGCATGAAGACGAGATCAGAGATAAAATAATTATCTATTACTGGATTAAAGTTATATGCATTTCTTTATTACAGAACTTGTTAGGATTTTTATTCTTCAAATGTTCATAGTAGATACTTTAGAACTGGATATGACACAGTATTTGCAAAACTTATTTTAAGATGGAGCTACTGCTTCTCAGTCTCAAAATAGTTAGAAAAACACTATTTAATTCAGTTAGTATTTTTGTGAATTATTGTGGAGCAAGTAAAACGATGAACTTATTGCACCAGACCTTATTACAGATGGTTGTGAGCCACTATGTGGTTGCTGGGAATTGAACTCAGGACCTTTGGAAGAACAGGCAATGTTCTTAACCGCTGAGCCATCTCTCCAGCCCCTATCATCCAGACTTTGAACAGTTGGCTTTTGACCACAGAAATCTTAAGTTCAACTTTAATCAAGAAGTCATTTGTTTATGAAATAACTAGTTAGCAGATGTTACTGAAGGAATTGATATAAATTGAGGAAGTTAATGTGTGGAGAGTACTTAAGACATGCTGAAGTCATGGGAGACATGCTGTCCCATCCATGAGGCATAATCTGAAGAGCCATTCACCACAGAGCAGGTTTACTGTCCCTGCTCTGGTCACTTCTTTGTCTTGGTTTTCTTTTTCCTATACTTTTTTTTTTTTAACTTACTCTTGTAAAGATGTTTTAAGTTATTTAAAATAAATTTTATTTAGATTTAAACATTAAATATCCCAAGCTAAAAGGTTAACATTCTGACCAAGCTTAGTGGCTTACCTCCTGCAATCTCAGCACTCAGGAAGCAGGGACAGGAGGCTATTGACTTAAAGAATAGCCTGGGCTACATAGCAAGACTTTCTCATTAAGTAAATAAATAAATAATGTTGTTTAAACTAACTGGGGTGAGTAGCAAAGACAACCTAGTGAATGTTGTTTCCAAAGCAAGTTTACTCAAAACTTGGAAACTTTGGACTATAGTGCTCCTGTTATGTGCAGATTGTCTGTGCCTTCTTTTCCAACATGTAATATTGTTTTGAGTATTGACTAGTTTTGTTCTTTCTATTTGTAAAACCTTTTTGTACATTTTTCAGATCCTACTTGATTTAAGAAAACATTGTTTATGGTTTTGCGTACCTCCTCCATATACCTTTTGGTATAGCTCATGGAAGGATAGTATAGTGAATGGAATCTTTCAGTTATTACAGATCGATGTAGTTGTAAGTTCATAAAATGTCTGAGTCAGGGTCTTTTATTTTTATTGTCTGTTCTCTATAGTATATGCTACTTGTCACCTAGGGACCTAAGTCCTAGAAATAATTAATTAAAAAGCACTGAAGCTTTGCTCCTAGGGAATATAATACCATGTTCCTAAAGCCTCTGGTCACATGTTTATAAAGCAGTTAGGACATACCATTGTTTCATGTGCATTTCTTTCGTGTGTTTATTTATTTATAGACATGGTCTCATAATGTTTGCAGCTCAGTTTGGCCTTGAATTTACAAGATAATCCATGCTTCCCAAATGGCTAGGATTGTAGGTATACTGCACTATACCCAGTTAATGTGTGATTCCATTATCAGTGTCTTAACATTGAACATGTGACCAACTATAGTATGACTTGTGCCTGAGTTAAGCTTATCTAACACATTTTTCTTCATAAGACACATTAACTTGCATCTATGAGTATATAAAACTTAGGAACACGTCAGCATTATGCCGAGAGGCCATTTTAAGCAGTGAATCTATAATAGCACAGCAGTGCAAAAACCGTGGTACTAAACAGACCACTGAAAAGACACCTGCTTGTATCGTCTGAGTGTTGAAACAAGACGACAGCATTGTCTTGTTCATCTTCAGGTGGAAAAGTACATGTTAGGTGACTCATTTTTTTCCACAGCTCCATAAGACAGGGTTGGGGGGAGTCACAAATACTTACTTGAAGACTATTAATTTGGTTCTCTATTGCTATGATAAAACAATAACCAAAAGCTTGAGGGAGAAAATTGTTTATTTGGCTTACAGCTTCCAGTCCATTATTGAGAAAAGCCGGGGCAGGAACTGAAGCAGAATTCACAGAGGAATACCGCTTACTGGCTTGCCCAGCTCTCTCTCTTATACAACCCAGGATCACTCTGGAGCCGAGCGCTCCACTCCCCCACCCCATCAGTCATTAATCAGTTCCTCAGAGACAGTCCAAAGGCCATTCTGATGGATGCAATTCCTCAGTTGAGGTTCTCTCATTCCAGATGACTCTAGTGTGTCCAGTTGGCAAAACCTCGCAGAGTTACTGATGTCTTTTAGTGAGTAGCTGAATTCATGTGTACAGAGTCTCTGAGTAGCAAGAATTGGCTTTTTAAATATTTTGTTATTTTATTTTATTTTTTGGAGACAGGATTTCTCTGTAGCCTTGGAGACTGTCCTGGAACTACCTGTGTAGATCAGGCTGGCCTCGAACTCACAGAGATCCGCCTGCCTCTGCCTCCCAAGTGCTGGGATTAAAGGCATGTGCCACCACTGCCTGGCGGCTGTAATTGTTTTAAAGAAGTTTATAATGGAATACTTGCACTTTTCATATTGGAAAGATTCTTTTATTTGTGGGTATGTGTAAGTTCCTAGTAATGCAGCTAGTCGTCACCTTTATGGTTTTATGTCTTCTCTGTCTTCTTCCCTCAGGGAACAACCTATCTTCAGCACTCGAGCTCATGTCTTCCAGATTGACCCAAACACAAAGAAGAACTGGGTTCCCACCAGCAAGCATGCAGTCACTGTATCTTATTTCTATGACAGCACAAGAAATGTCTATAGGATAATCAGTTTAGATGGCTCAAAGGTAGGTCACAGTTACTTCAAATAATCTTACTCTCTTGCTCTCCTCAGCATAGAACTTCAATTTCATTCATATTTTAATTTTTATTAAAATACTCCTTTTTGAATTATTAAAGCCTGACTTTAAGAAACAAAAAGTGGCTGGGCGGTGGTGGCGCACCTTTAATCCTAGCACTTGGGAGGCAGAGGCAGGTGGATCTCTGTGAGTTTGAGACCAGCTTGGTCTACAAAGCTAGTTCCAGGACAGGCTCCAAAGTCACAGAGAAACCCTGTTTCGAAACAAACAAACAAACAAACAAAAAAAGAAAGAAACAAAAAGTGGTCATTCTTAGAGTAGCAACATTTTTTGTCCATCAAGTTTTTTGAATAAACTTACTCTCTTATATTTTTATGAGAAAACATACTTTTCAGATTTATGGTAGATTAGTTCGTTTAATGAGCATTTCTTGTATTTCTGTTTTGTATCGATGTTGAATGGTAAGAAAATACTGGTGAACTGTGAATTTCCATATTAGTCACTTTTCATTCTTACAACACCAGCTTTTGACTACCTGCGGAGAAAAGGCTTTATTTAGTTTACAGTTTTGAAGCTAATCCAAGGGGGACTAGCCCTTACTCCTTGACTATAGTGTGTTGCTGGGTCCTAAAGTCTTCCTCAGGGGAGGGATTGAAAAGGCGCAATGAAAACAAACTCAGATGCCGGGAGTCAGATAGAAGGCTTATAGCAGACTTGTTTATTTAACAATGGGGAAAAATTTAACATCCTCCCAGCACCCAGGCATTCTAATCCATTGACAGTTAATATCTCATGCTTGCCTCTCATTGGCTAAACACGATCAGGACCTTTGACAGCGCTTGTTCCTAGGCACTCGGAAAACACCGCTTGGCATCTCTTTATTGGCTAGGCACAGACAGGACCTTTGATAGCTCCAGGCAGACTCCAGGTTGGCTCCTTCCTACAACAGTGCTGTATGGTTTGGTAATGATGATTCTCTATGGATGATCAAGTGATTACATTTTGAGCCACGGTGGAGTTTAATGGGCCGGGCATGATCCCTTTATCATAGCCCATTCAGGAGAATTGAAGTTCTTTAAATTACTTTTCTAGAGCACATTCTCAGTGACCTGATGATGACCTACCTGTAGAACACTTAAATGTTTAACAACACCTCCTTCAGATCACTTCTTGGGGTGGCATATAGGGCTGAGAATCTGGGTTTGGGTCCCAACACCCATACAGAGGCTCATAGCTATCTGTAACTACTTCTGGAGGATCTGACACCCATTCTGACCTCTCCAGGCACCAGGCACACACATGGTGTACATACTTACAAGCAGGCAAAATACTCACAAACATTAAATTAAATAAAACAGCAGCAACCAAGATCCTTTAGGAGAACACAGTTAATGCTTAACTAACCCTAACAACTTCTGTACACTTGAACCATGAAGCCTGCCGACTTCAAAACTAAAGTAACAGAAGTATGAAGACAGAAATTTTAAAATCTTTGCTTATAGGAGAGGTAGATGGTGTAACATTTATGATCAAGGCCCATTGGGTTCCACCCTCAACTCTGTCATTTACTGTTTTGACGTTGAAGAAAACGCTTTCCTTTTTTCATACCAGCGTAAATAGTCATAAGGATTAAGTAAGTTTATATCGGCAAAACACATTTCATCCTTTGTGGATAGTAGGGAGAATTTTGTAAAACTATCAGGTTCCAAACATCAGATTCTGAGGTTTCCTTCAAGTTTTCTTGAAAAGTCTTTCCAACTTTCCATCAGTTCAGTGTAGAAGTTAGGAACACAGAATAGAAGCCACCTCATTGGAATTTGCTACCCTGTGACTTTGACAAGGTGTTCGAGTTCTGTGCATCTCTTTTCTCCCTTGTAGAAAAGATCTTAAGAGTAGTAATGCACTGTTCCACCAGGGCATTGCTGTGAAGATAAATGCATTCTAAAAAGCACAGTGCGCAGCAGTGTGTTGACTCTGGGTGAAGGTGCTTGTCACCTAGCCTGACAACAGTGGGACCCACACATTGTCCCCAGACCTACAGGGCATGCATGTGCAAATACACATAATATAAACACCTTTTTAGAGTAGCAACACCACAACAGTGTACAGTTTTTATGGCATTTGTCCTACATATACTTAATATTTACTGGGATAATAATTTTGCATATGACCTAGTATGGTTTGAGGACTAAAAAAAATTAATTTAATGCTAAACTTGTAGTCTGATGTTTTCATTATGCTCACTCCTTGTCTTTTTAACTGTCCTTCAGGGAGGGCTGGAGGTATATATGTATAAAGCCTTTGGTTCAGTGTTAGTCACTACCATTCCCACAAAGAAAAAAGAAGGCAGGCAGGGATAGTAGATTTATTTTAGGAGCAGACCTTGTGTTGAAGTCTTACTAGATTATAGGACCTCAGGGCTATATAGACTTTGTATCTTACATAAGTGATTAAACTGTGTTTCTCCAGATAGTTCGTTGTCTTTCCACTTTCACGTGAATGGCTTAAAGTTGAGATGATGATAGTAAATTTCTGTGAAATGCTAATGAGTAACTGTTCATAACTGTTTGGTTTAGTGAAGTACAACAGATATTAAATACTATCTCAGGCCTTAATTTATTTTCCCTATTTGAACTCTCAGTTTCTGTAATCTCTTATGTCACTTGACCTAAAGTACAAGTATATTGTGCTTTTATTAGAAGGGGTTTAAAAGGGGTTAAATGGAGATAAAGGTCAACTGAAGTAGTTCATGTCTAGGAAGGAAAATTGCACTGAAATAATTAAATACACTTCAGTTCTTTCAATATTTTTTCTACTGTCTCATCTCCATCTTTCTTTTTCATGATTGCCTTAAAAGCCCAGAGTACCCTAAGTAGAAAATGTTCATTTGTTCTTGGTGCTTGAACGGAACATATGAAACAGTTGATTTTCTTTTCTTTTTCTTTCTTTCTTTCTTTCTTTCTTTCTTTCTTTCTTTCTTTCTTTCTTTCTTTCTTTTTTTCTTTTTGAGACAGGCTTTCACTCTTTAGCTCTGTTCTCGGGGACCAGCCTCAACAAAAATACTAATTGCCAGGGTAAGGGTGTGAGGATTAGAAATATAAGTAAAGAGTACAAAGGATGCTCAACTGTGCCACAAGGACATGTGCTCAGCTTTGTTTGTCATAGCCAGAACCTGGAAACAACCTAAATGCCCTTGACCAAAGAATGGATAAGAAAAATGTAGTACATATATACAATGGCATATTACACAGTAGAAAAAAAACCAACATCTTGAATTTTTCAGGAAAATGGATGGAGCTCTAACATCATTTTGAATGAGGTAACCCAGACTCATAAAGACAATTATCACATGTACTTACTCATAAGTGGTTTTTAAACATAAAGCAAAGAAAACCACCCTACAAACCACAATCCCAGAGAAACTAGACAACAGTGAGACCCCTAAGAGAGACGTACATGGATCTAATCTACATGGGAAGTAGAAAAAGACAAGATCTCCTGAGTAAATTGGAAGCATGGGAACCTTGGGAGAGGAATGAAGGGAAGGGGAGAGGCAGGGAGGGGAGCAGAGAAAAATGTAGAGCTCAATAAAAATCGATAAAATTTTTTTAAAAGGAGTACAAAACCGCAAAAATAATAATAGAAACTATAGAATAGTATCGGGAGGGAGTTTCAGCGAATCCTGAAATCTCCCGCATTTAATTTCCCATTGCTTAAAAAACCCGACCCTACGAGGCGGGAGTAAGATAAAAAAAACTGCATTAACATGATACAAGGAAACAGAACCAGTTGAAGATTGTGGGCTACATCCATAGTTAAACATTCTATTGCTAGAACAAACCAAGTCGCGCTCACACCCTAGACCAAAACATTTTGTAGGCAAATCACTCCCTGGGTGAAATCCAGTGTTATCTCCTTAAGGGAACAGGAGCCTTAATTGGATCCTTAGACTTTTGTTTGAGGTAGAAACATATCTACTTCTCTATTCCAGGAGTTGAAGGTCTGACTATTAATCACACCTGTTGACAGTAACCTTGAGAGAGGAACTCTCTCAGTGAGACCTTTGTTTGAGGTAGAAACACAATAACCTTGAAGGAATGGAGCCAATTCTCTGACCCCTGGTCTAGGTGGGAATAGGCTCACATTTCTAGCCTCTATACTCTGGCTGGCCTGGAACTCAAAAGTTCACCTGTCTCTGCCTCCCAAATGCCGGGATTAAAGGTTTATAGCAACATCATATTGCTCTAGTTATCTGATCATGGTCTTGAGACCCTAGCTCACCCTAGCCAGGTCCAAAGCCTTCCTGGTGTGAAATGACACACTTTTCTACATGTTCACCTTAAAAGGACAAAAACGTGAGGTTTGAGAATTCTTTATTTTAAAACACTAGATTTTTCTTTTAATTTCTTAACTCTTCTCAGAAAAGAGAGACTGTATGTGTATGGTGCACACACTTTTAATCTCAGCACTTAGCAGGCAGAGGCAGATCGATCTCTAAATTTGATGCTAGCCTGGTCTACAGTGTGCATTCCAGGACAACCAGGAATACACAGAGAAACCCTATTTCAAAAAACCAAAAAAAATTTTAAATTGTGTTCTAGTTAAAAAAAAATCTAAGAAATAGATTTTCAGGCATAGGTTCATTTAAAGTTTTGCTCCCATGATTCAAGGACTAGAAATACAGAAACAAGGAGAGGTTCAGGATGGAGGTTAGAATGAACCCCTTTAACAAGACATAATAAAGTTAATTTGAAATGGTTGAAATGAACTCTGGTGTCCAACCAGCACATTGGTCAGTTTTTCTTGTTGCTTATTAAATGTATTATCACCCCACCTTTTAGAGTTATTGGGGTCTGATGCCAAAATGCTCTTTTGATCTTGGTTAACACTTAGGTTCCTCCTTAACCACTTGGTGGAGAGCACTGAAGGACCACCAAATCTAGACAATGCTTGCTCTTCTTTATCTGCTTGCCTTTACTCTCTGTTATATCCTTCTAGGGATTTCACAGCTATTGCAGGCGTTGAAATTCCATTGTTACTATTTCTTTGCTCTAAACAACTCTTATAGTATTAAATTCATAACTGCATTGCCTCTCTTGCTGTTGTGTTTCAAATTTCTAGAGTTGTACTTGGTAGCTAATAGGCACTCAGAGAACATCAAACAAACCAACCATCTTTCGTTGTTTGTTTATAGTCTTCTTTCTACTTAGTCCTTTAAAAAATTTTTAGGTTATTTTAATTTATATGTATGAGTGTTTGGTCTGCATTTGTGTATGTGCACCATGCGCCTGGTGTCTGAAGAGAACAGAAAAGAGCATCAGATCCCCTGTAACTGGAATTACAGGTGGTTGTAAGCTACCATGTGGGTGCTGGGTATCAAACTTGGGTCCTCTGCAAGAGCAACAAATGCTCCAAATTGCTTACCAACCTCTCTAGCCCCTAGACTTTTATTTGATGAAATAAAGTTAAAATAAAGTTAACTTGATGAAACAAGTTAAAATAATTGTCAGCGTGTTGCATTCCTGAAATGGTGTGCTAGTGGAAACTGTTTTGAACTAAATGCTGAGGAAGCTTTATAAATATAAATATAGAAATTTTGTACGAAGATAAAGCTCTTATAACAATAGATAACATATTTTCTTTGAGAAAGGAGGGATACAGTTTCTATTGTGCCATCTTCCTTTTCTTTAGCAGAACAACTATGTCTGTATATCCTCACTGCAACTTCATCAGTTCCTAATAGCACATAAACATTTACATTTGTAGTGTTTTACTTGTAAACAAATTTTAATTTTTTTTTTAGAAAATGCTGGATTTTCATTGCACATTTACTAGTTTGCTAGATGCCAGTTCAAATTTGACAACATAAATGTTTTTGTTGTTGGTGCAATTATATTTCTGAATTTTAGGGAGCACTAGACTACCCACCTGTAAATGTCCCTTTCCTTTCCAGCACTGGCAGAGAACATGAATTAATGTTATAATACCCGAAATGTATTAAGATCTCCAGAGTTAATCTTTATTAACATGCTAAAAATGCTATGTTTTCTAAGAAATTATGTGTATGTGTGAAATCAAAATATTGCCACCAACCTGTTTTTTTTTCAATAAGAAAAGAAGTAAAAATATTTTTTTTGGTGTTTGTTTTTCCCTTGAATAGAGAAAATGTCTTCTAAATGATTGAAAGCCTTTTTTTTGTATAAAAATATATTTTGTGTAAATTAGATTGTTTAAAGCTTTATTTTCATTAAAATATCAAAATATTATACATTATTAATTTTATGTATGTAGGTGTTATGCCTGCATGCATGCCAGTGCACTATATTCATGATGGTTGCTTGATGTCAGGTCCCCTGGAACTGGAATTACAGATGGTTGTAAACTGCTATGTAAGTGCTAGAAATTGAACTCAGGTCTTTGGAAGAGTAGCCAGTTCTCTTTACCCTCTTAACCACTGAGATATTTCTCCAGCTCCTTATACATTTATTTTTGAATGATTCTTTTAAAACTAAAGCATATTTGTTTCTAGAGAATAACATCTAGAATTAGTGAATATTGATCCTCAACATTCCTAGGGAAGAAGTTTCAAAACTGAAGGCTCAGTGGTTGAACACTTGCCTTTTATATGCAAGATCCTGAGTTTGATGGCCACTCTACCAAAAGGGGACAATTGCTCTAAAACCAAGATTAAAGAAACTGCTTTTGTCCGTTATCGATTTGTAAAAGTTGATTTACAAGTTGGGGCTTGGGTGCTACCTCAGTCAGTAAAGTGTAGGATCTGAGTTCTATCCCCAGCACCCATGTAAAAAAGCTGGACTACATGGGATATTTTTGTAATCTTGCTCTGGGGAGGTTGAGACAGGTGAATTCCTTGGCCTTCTAGTCAACCAATTTAGCCTAATCAGCAAGTCCCAAGTCCTAGTGGGAAACCCTATCTCAAAAACCAAGTTGGACAGCTTTTGAGGAACAACATTGGAGGTTGTTTGACCTACAGAGGCATATGTGTGCGTGCATCTGTGTGCACGCCCTTCCCCTCACACATACACACAAAACCTTTCTGATCATTAATAATATATCTGTAGTTCTGCTAGTTGCACATTTCCACATCGCCACCACTGCAATTATTTTTATACATTTAACTTTGTGAGCTACAAGTGAGCCTATTTTTATGTAGCTGAAATGCTCTTATACTTAAAAGCCTATTTGCTTATTTTTGGCTGGCTACTCTTATTTTATTTTTCAGGCAATAATAAATAGCACCATCACTCCAAACATGACATTTACTAAAACATCTCAGAAGTTCGGCCAGTGGGCTGATAGCCGGGCAAACACTGTTTATGGATTGGGATTCTCCTCCGAGCATCATCTTTCAAAAGTAAGTATTTAAGTAGATTTCTGAGAAAATCATCATAATTTACATGTCATAACATACAATCCTCATTGCTTGCAACACAATAGTAAGTGGAGAATACAAAATACAGGAGAAATTTGTTTAGTTTCTATAGTGAGACAACTATAGTGACTTTAAAATAAGAATATTAATATATTAAATATTATATAAATATGAACATAATATAAAAATATAATTGGATTCTTCCTAATTTTACATGAAGATTTATAATACACATTCAGAATAGTCACCACTGGTTAGGGCTTCTTATAATGAATTAGCTTTGTGGCAGGAAGTAAAAGGTGGGAACTACTTTTCCAGAAGGGATTTTGATAAAAAAAAAAAAAATAGCATCCTTTATTTGGAGATGGTCTTAAAGATAAGCAAACACAAACTCTTCCAAATTATGAAAATTACAGTTGACGAAAATATAGATTTCATGTGAATTTTCTTGTTTGTTCCTTAATATGACAGCAGTCATGTGTTATTGTTTGTTGAGAAAACTCTTGATTTGCTTGAATATAGAGTCTTTAAACTGTCTGCAGTACAGACTGAGATCCAATCAGCCCCAAGAGGAGTTTCTTGGATAATGTTGATTAAAGGAATTACAGTGGCATGAAAGACTTATAAAATGCAGAGTGTTACCAGACTGAATGCTGGGAACAAGCAGTTGTCCTGCCTGTAAAGAAAGCCACCCCATGCTTACATTGGGCATCTCGAGTTCCTGTGGAATTATACAGAAAGAATGAAAATAGAGAGTGGAAAGGTGCACAGGGAAGAATAGCCACAAGATACTAGGAGAGTAGGATGAACAGTACTCTCCTCGCTCTCCAGATTCTGTGCCCACAGACATAAAGATTTGTGCTAAAACTATTCTGTTTAAAGGGTTTGTCCTTGTGCAGGAGTTACTTCAGAAACTAATAGAAACCCAAGGAAAAATGAGTTCTGTGGCATACTACTACTTGGTTAACACATATAGTCTCTGCATTCAGTTTGCAGAAAAGTTTCAGGAATTTAAAGAAGCTGCTCGACTTGCAAAGGAGAAATCACAGGAGAAGATGGAACTGACCAGTACACCTTCACAGGTATGTGTCATGGGTCTGTTTTCATGTGTGAGTTTGCTTTCTTAAGATCATCATACCCTTTGTGCCAGAGTGAAATTTGGAAGAATAATGGCAAAATTAATTACCAAAGTATATATAGAAGTGTGCTGGTCAGTTAATCTCTACTACAAAGAATATATCAGTGTCTACAAGAATATTTTTAATAATTATTTTAATCCAGATAACTTTTATGTACCTATCTATCTTAGTTTGAGTTTTTATTGCTGTGAAAAGACCATGACTGCAGAACTCTTAAAAAGTAAAGTGTTTAGTTGAGTGGACTCCCTTATAGTTTTAAAGGTTCAGGCTGTTCTTATCATGGTGGGGAATATGGTGCTGGAGCTGAGAGCCCTACATCTTGCAGGCAAAAGGAAGTTGACTGAAGGCCACACTGTGGGAAGCTTGTGCAAAGGAGACCTCAAAGCCTGCCCCCATAGTGACTTACTTCCTCCAACAAGCCCAAACCTTCTAATAGTGCCACTCCCTTTGGGGGGTCATTTTCTTTCAAACAATCACATTCCATTCCCTGGCCCCCAAAGGCTTATAGCCATATCATAATGCAAATAATAATAATAATAATAACAATAACAACAACAATAATAATAATAAATGCATTTAGTTCAACTTCAAAAGTCCCCATAATCTGTAACAGTCTCAAACTTATTTACTAGTCTAAAATTCAAAGTCTCTTCAGAGATTCATGTAATCTTTTAACTGTAATCCCTTATAAAATCAAAATCATCTGGGCAGTGTTGGTACACGCCTTTAATCTCAGCATTCGGGAAGCAGAGGCAGGTGGATCTCTGTAAGTTTGAGGCCAGCCTGGTCTACATACAGAATGAGTTCCAGGACAAGCACCAAAGCTACACATGTAAACCCTGTCTTGAAAAACAAAACAAACAAAAATCAAAAAGCAGATCAAATACTTCCAACATATAATGGCACAGGATATACATTACTGTTCCAAAGCATAGGGAAAGAAACATAGTGAGGAAATACTGGAGCAAAGCAAGACCGAAAACCAGCTGGGCCAACTCCACACTCTGCATCTCCACGTCTGAGGTCAGAACATTCACATGTCCAGCTCCTTTCAGCTTTGTTGACTGCAACACATTTCTTTTTTATTGGTTCCGCTCCTTGGTAGCAGCTCTCTTTAGCAGGTATCCCATGGCTCTGCCATCTCTAACATCTTGGGGTCTCCAAGGCAACCCAGGTTTCAACTTCACAGCTTCATGCTATGGTCTGTCTACTAGACCTCCATTCAGGGACACCCATGACACGTGCCTGGCCTCAACGGCTTTATTTCATAACTTTTCTTTTATGCTTAACTCAAAAGCCAGTACTACAGGACCAAAGCTTTCAACTTCGGTTGTTGCTGATACTGGAACATGGCCCTCTTGTTTAATTACATCTTTACCAGCTTTCTGCCCTTCACTGCCTAAGCTTGGCTGACCTCAGACTCAGATCCACCAGCCTATACCTTCCCAGTTCTGGGATTGCCTCACCACACCGGCTTTAAGCTTTTCACAAATTGGAAATTTAGCTGGTTGGGATCTTACCCTGAGGTCACCACTCCCTTTATTCTGTTCCTTAATCTGTTTATCTCCTTGAACACAGAATTTAGCTCTGTTACACTTGCTGGTGTTCTTTTTCTCTTCAAAGTTTTTATTTTCTTATTGACCCTGCTCGACTTGCTCCTTTTCATTATAAGTCTTCATTAGAGTTACCACTAAAAATCACATGGCAGAGTCTATACTAGGCTGTTTTGAGATTTCTTCTGCTAATGAAATTAATACAAAATTCTTCACTTTAGCTTTAAGCAGACTTTTAAGACAAGGGCAAAAAGCAACCACCTTTTTTCACCAAAATATTACAAGATCAGTGTCTGGTCAACATACTAAAATTCTTCTCTGAAACCTTTTGAGTGAGCTCCCAACAGTTTAAATACTCTTAGTGCCACTGTCTTCTTTGCTTCTATTAGTATGGCCCATTATGCAGTGCTTAAAGCATTCTACTGCTTTCCTAACCCAAAGTACCAAAGTCTAAATTCCTCCTAATGAACACATGGTCAGGACTATCAAGCCACGCTTGATACCAACTTTTGTATTAGTTTAAGTTTTTCTTGCTATGAAAAGACACCATGACCATGGCAACACTTAAAAGTAAAACGTTAAATTGAGGTAGCTCACTTACAGTTTCAGAGATTCAGCCCATTATCAGCATGGTGGTGTGCAGGCAGACCTGGTACTGGAGCTGAGAGTGCTATATCTTGCAGGCATCTGGAAGTTGACTTAAAGTCATACTGAGGGTAGCTTGAGCAAGATAGACCTTAAGCCCGCCCCCAAAGTGACACACTTCCTCCAAGAAGGCTACATCTCCTAATAATGTGATTCCCTTTGGGGCCATTTTCTTTCAAACCACTATGATACCCAACAACAGAAGAGCAAAAGTCCAAGATGATCAACCTTTGTTTTTGACCATGGTCTTTTGTACAGGCAATGGTAAGACAAATTTGCTCACTTAGTGGAACTAAAGGAGATCACTCATTCCTAGAAGCTAGGTGTGACACACCATGCAGAGCCACTTGGGAAAGCCCAAAGGAAGTAGTTAAGAGGCAGAAACAGCAATGGAAATCTATGCCAGACTTTGTCTTGGGATTTCATGGAAAAGTGGAGAAACGATAAAATAATTTAGGATTGGTTAGTTTGAGCTATTTTGTTGGCTCTCAGTTTCTTTTGGCTCTAATCTGGCTCTGGAGTGATTAAGACAAAGGAATATGTTTCTGCAGTACTAGGCTAGATAAAGAAACTGGTTTGTTTGATACTAGCGTGTTTAGTTTGGCATCAGAGTTCTGTTCCTCACTAGGCTCCTATTTTCTTAAAGTATTGACTAGTTCTAGGGGAGAGGAGTAATTTATCTAGTCAGAATATTGCAAGATATTGGATAATTGTGGTGAGTAGAATTGCTTATGTGCAAGCTTGACCAAGCTTGACAAGCTGAGTTCTCCCACGAGAACTCACAAGATGGCAGGAGAGAACCAACATCCATGCCCTCTGTACCCCACATGCCTGCTATAGCTTGTGCATCTCTCCACAATAATAATCAATTTAAAAATAAAAAATTGCAAAATATAAAACATTGTAAAATATAAGGCATATGGTTGGTTCTTCCCGATGTTAGAATCTGCTTACATCTAACTATTTGGCAAGCCTCACTAAGTATAAAGAGTTCATTTTTGTTTTACTTAGGAGAGTTCTGCTAAATGTGCTTTCCTCACAGACTAAACGTTTACTTCGAATTGGAAACAAAGTCCATTCTTCTATACTTGCAGCAACCTGGTATAATTTGGGTTATCTTTGTGAAACTCTGTTGAATTTCTTTTTCAAATGCTTTGCTACTCCAGTGATTCCTTTAAGCATAAAAGCCATTTAAAACTATGTGCCACTATGTATCAGGAGTTCTGATTCTTTCAGGTGATTGATTTTGTTGTTACCAAAAGATACAACAAAAAGCACATTCAGTTAGAAAATACAGAAAAATATTAATAAAGCTGTAGTGGTTGATACATTGTCATTGTATTTAGTTACTGTTTCTCCAGTTATAACTTATTGTGTTATAATTGATTGTAAACTATTACAGGTTAGTAAGCTAATTTCTTGTCTTTGGTGGAAGAAATGTCTTGAAGCTTTGGTCAAAGAGATGTAGAAAAGATGATCATATTTGAAAAAAAAAAGTCATGATATAAAAAGAATGAGCTGGGCAGTGGTAGTGCATGCCTTTATTCCCAGCACTCTGGAGGCAGAGGCAGGTGAATCTCTGTGAGTTCTAGGCCAGCCTGATCTATAGAATGAGTTCCAGGACAGACTCCAAAGCTACACAGAGAAACCCTGTCTCAAAAAAAAAAAAAAAAAAGTAAAGAAAAAAATGAATAATATGTTAATTTGTTCAGCATTTGAGATATAGGCCTTAATTTATCAACTATTAGAAGTCTATTATAAACTTACTGTGTAGGAGCCAGAGAAAAGTAGAAAAAAAATTATTTTCTTCCTCTTCTTCCTTGCATTTATGACAATCTAATGCTTCTGTTTTGTTTGAATGGAATAATTTTAATGCAATAACTGGTGATAGTAGATGGTCAAAACCCTTATTTTTATTTGAGGAGGCACACCATATTAGTTAAGAATATTTGAGTGTGTGGGATGGGATATAGCTCAGTGATACATATAGAGAGAGACCCCTTGCTTTCCAGACTCTAGAATGGATGCCCAGCACTACAAAGAAAAACGAAATGAGATGGGGAGCTCAAGCATGTACAATCTCTCTTGCTGCTCAAGCCTGATAACCTAGTTTGTGTGATCCCTAGAACCACAAGGTGGAAGGAGAGACCCAACTCCTCATGCTGTAACACTCAAGTGCCCCTTCTCTTTCTTTTTCCCTCCCCTGCTTCTCTGTCCCTCTCTCTCCCTCCGAACTTTCATTCCCCATTTACCCCAACAAATACACAACAAACACAAACAGTAAAACACAAAAGAAAGCATACACATTTTCAAGTCAGATGAACTTAAGTGGTTTTTTTGTTTGTTTGTTTGTTTTTGTGACTGGAGAAGTTGCTTAACCCAAGAGTGTTTGTACATTTTAGCATGAGTTTTTTATCACTTTATTGAGAGAGTTGAGTATGATAAGGATAATGGCAACTCATGGTTAGTGAGTGATGCCTACTCTAGAGCCAGGCTTGAATTTTGGCACTATTCTTTATTAGCTTTATAAGTTAGACCAGAAGGTGGGTGTGGGAGGGCTGTGCATGAAAATTAGGAATAAGACCAATGAAGTCTTTAAACGGTACCTGACACATAATAGTTGTTAGGAAAACATAGATGCCGTGTGTTTTAAGGTTTCTATTGCTTTGGTAAAACCATGACTAAAAACAACTTGGGGAGGTAAAGATTTATTTAGTTTTTATATCCTATGCCACAGACCCTTGAGGGAAACCAAAGTTGGAACCTGGAGTGAGGAACTGAAGCAGAAGCGATGGAAGAACTCTGCTGTTTGGTTTGCTCAACGTGCTTCTTACATAACCCAGGACCACCTGCTTAGAGGTGGCACTGCCCACAGAGGGTTGGGTCCTCCCGTATCATTTATTAGTCAAGAAAATGCCTCACAGGCTTGCCTGCAGGCCGGCCTAACAGAGGTGGTTTGTTAATTGAGATCTCAGATGACTAGTTTGTGTTGAGTTGATGAGAAACAACCAGCACAGCATGCGTCAGAATTCTCTTGAAGACTTATTAAAGTACAGTATAGTTTTCATACATGGAGCCCAGAAATTTGTATTTCTGATCCCTTTTCAAGAGCTACTGGTGAAATTGGTTGTAGGTAAGGAATGCTATAAATAAACAAGTCATTCCGTCCACCAGGGGAGGGCTTATCCCTACAACCTTCAATCCCTGAAATGAAAGGAGTCTGGCATTTAGACAGAAGTTAGCCTTTTCATGGTCTTATCCTCTTGAGCTAAAGCTGTATATACTCCTGGCTTAGTAGGGAGAGAGTTAAAGCTAGCATGAGCACTGTAGTTATTAAGTCAAGTCTGTATGGGCTGCAGGAAGTTAGGTGAAGTCTAGAAGAGTAGAAAGGGAGTGGAACAGATCGGGAGAGCCGGAGACCGTGGGGTACACACTCTTTGTCCGTTGGAATCAAAACCAAGAGTTGATGAATTAATCAAGAAAGAACTAAGGCTTGAAGAACAGATCTGTAATCCCAAATATTCTGGAGGTTGAGGCAGGAGGATTGTAAAATATGCCTGGGCTACACACTGATAAGATTCTGTCTTAACATAACAGTAAGTGAAAAAACAGGGTTGAGCGCATCGGTACAGTGCTTGCTTAATGTGCGGAAGGCCCTAGATTCAATCTTCTTAGTGGTGGAAAATGTGAGGAAAATGTTTTAAAACATTCTTAAAATTGTTATATTAACATTCAATAATTTTATTCTTCAATATTTTATTCTCAAACCTTAAAATAGGTTGTTGACTTGAATCCTACCTTTATCTTCTGTGTTTGATTCTAACAGATTTACTATACCAAGAGTTAGTTGTTATGGGAGGTCTCTGTAGGATGTGAAGCCAGCAGGGAAATGATCCTGGTGAGGGAAGAGTGAAACTCGACTCACTGATTTAGGTGGCTGGTGCTGGGCCAAGACTCTGAGAGTCTGACATCAGCTTATATATTTTTTGCCATATTTAAGCACTGCACAATTTTGGAAAAAGTTTTCAGATAACAATTAACTCATCCCCTTGAGTACAACAAACCTTAAGAAATGTTACAAGGTATGTATTACTTCATCCCTAAAATGGATTCTGTTGACTTAGAAACAGTACTCAAAAGAAGGTCTAGGGAGGATGACTAACGTAAACATAATCCCTGTGGGAGTCAGGGTTTGGCCTGGCCCTAAGGTAACATAGAAGTCAGTTAGGCTGTAGTAAAATACAAGTGACATCTCTCCCAAGGATGAGTTTTATGGCCTAGCAGCAGTGCTCAAGGTTTTAGTGGGAAAAGGTCTGGGATTAACAAACATAGTATTCTGAATGATATGGACAGAGTCCAGTTCAACAGGTAGCAAAGGATTACCAAATTGTAAGCTACATTTCCCCCCAGCATTCTGGGAGAACGGCCAAATATCTTCTCCCTTTGGAGAGATTAGCAGTGTGTTTAATTTTCCTGCCTTCTCCAGTGCTTCTCTGTGTGCACAACAAACGACCTTTTTGCCCTTTACACGTTTTCTTGAATTTTGAGGTTGTTTTTTTTTTTGCTTTGTTTTGTTGTTTTTGAGAATAGGTTTATTTTGACTTCCAATTTGAAGAGATATATATTCATTATGGCAGAGAAAATGAAGCTGCTGGTCACATTGCATCTGAAGTCAGAAAGCAGAGAGAGATGAATTTGAAGTTGTTAAGTAGAGCTAAACCTTGGCACTTGCAAACATACCTGAATATTCTATTTTTATATCATTTCTCTGATATATCGTATGATAAATATAGTATATTATATATGATTAATTCATCTGTGAGTTTTATTTTACTTTATAGCCATTTATTTTTCAGACATTTTAAAGCATTTCATATGGTTTTAATTAAAATAACTTCTAGCTTTGCATTCAGATGTCATTAATTTGCATAATATTTAATCCAGTTATTAATATTGTAAGTATAGTTGGCATAAACAATCTTGAAGGCAAATACAGCTGGCTCCATTAGACAGTTACTGTCTAATGCAGTTACTGGGTACAAAATATGTAAGCAGAGTGAAGAGTGACCTGTTAGTCATGAACCTCAATCAGTGCATCTTACAATGTTACTTAGGTGTTCTTACAGAGGACCAGAGTTCAGTTCCCAGCACCTATGTCAGGGAGCTTACAACCCCAAGTCACCTCAGCTCTGGAGGATCTAACACTCACTTCTGTCTTCTGTGGGTGCATGCATACACTCACACAAACACACACTAGCACATAAAAATATAATAGTATGGGTTGGTTCAGACTCAGATTTTCTTTTCCTTTCCTTTCTATTCCTCTTTTTTTCCAATTTGTGTGTGTGTGTGTGTGTGTGTGTGTGTGTGTAGGGAGGTTCTAAATGTTTACTATTTTTCTAATCCTTAGTATTGACATTAAATTGTAAAATGCCTTTAACATAATTAAAAGTCTGTTAATATGCTTGGCTTTATATTTAGAACTCTGAAAAACTTCCATGAAAAGTCCATGACTTTCAGCAGTCACAGAAGCAGTATCTTTAAAGTCAGATAGGAGCAGAGGGAACCCATGGCCTTGCTACGTGCTGGGCCCGCACTGTGTCTGTCTAAGAATGTTAAGTTGTCAGAAGCTGGGATTTCAGAGATGGTGGCTCTGAATGGTCTATAGGGACCAATTCACACCGGAAGTTGACAGGATACTTGCCTCAACTCCATCTTCTTTATGTATCAGAATCATGAAGTTTTCCCCCAGATTTTCCTTCAAACTTCTGCACAGAAAAGTAGGTATTTACAGTTTTGCAGAAGTATGAAAGAATGCGGTGGGTGAGTCTTTAGTAAATGTTTATTAAATAATAAAGGGCCTGTTTTAGTTCAGCTGAAAAGGATGAAATTAAGGAACTCTTCGGGCCTTATTAGAATTAGTACAGAGTCTGGTGAGGAAGGGTGGAGCTGGTAGTGCCCCCCACCCTGCTTACCACAATGTAGGTGGTAATAGTCTTCTCTTTTTCTGAGACAGTGTCTCATTGTGCTGCTCAGGTTGGCCTTGAAGCACACTATTCTCCTGCCTTGTCCTCTTGAGTGCTGGGATTGTAGGCAAACACTATCCTGCCCATTTTTCATTCTGGAGTAATTTTGTGAATACCATTTACTCTATTTGGTTTCTTTTATTAACAAAATATTCTTTAGGTTTTTAAAATTACATTTCTAAATTGTTACCTTGATAATTTTAAATTATATTATAGTTTATTAATTTTCTTATGAGTTGCTTTCTTGAAAAAATATTTTTAATCTAATTCAGATTTCAATTGCTATTTGATTTATCACAAGGAATTCATTTAGATGACATTGTGTGACTAAACAAAAGTAAAACACTTTTTAAAAAAATCTCTTACTCTCTTTTCTCTCTTTCTTCTTTTTTTTAAAGGAGTCAGCAGGAGGAGATCTTCAGTCTCCTTTAACACCAGAAAGCATCAATGGGACAGATGATGAAAGAACACCTGATGTGACACAGAACTCAGAGCCCAGGGCTGAGCCAGCTCAGAATGCATTGCCATTTTCACATAGGTACACATTCAATTCAGCAATCATGATTAAATAAGTTGTATAAATGTGGAAGCTTATTTGGTTTCAGAAACAACTTTTGAGTGAAAATCTCAGGTCAGACTTCTTTAATTAATTTATTGTTTTTGGTTGCTTAAATTGACTAAGTGAATATTTCCCTTATCTTTGTGGAAAAGGAGGTATTGAGTTAATTATAGGAGGAACTTTTTCAATGGGACAAAGCATAAATCCCTTCTATTTTTTAAAGACCCCTTTTGTTAACCAGTTTGCCATTTTCATGTATGTAACCTAAGACTTACACATTGTAATTAGAAGCAATAGGATTCCTACTCTGAAGTCAAGCTTTTCCATTGTCCTAGAGGTGTCATAGCTTGATTTCACAGAAGACAGTAGATACCAGGCATAAACCTGTGAATAGTAATAGCAGGTTGCTTTGTCTGCCAACAAGAGAAAAAGCTTGAATTGCTTCTGAATTTTTAAAAGAATTCTGTATTCTAAAAGATACAGTGTGTTCTAAATGTATTATAAACTAGTTACATTAATTATTGACCAAATGGTATTTTTAGACTGTAATGAAGAATGTGAAAAGGCACTATTGAAATTATTTTTTATCAAAGCCTATCTGTAATCTGCCTTAACATTAATTTTTACCCTTATTTGAATGCTTTTTACTAAATAGCTTATGTAAAATTAAGAAAATAGTTTTGTTTTTTTTTTTTTACTGCACATTGTTTTGGAGGGACCAAGCTTTAAAAAATTAAATTCTGTGACAAATTAAAAGTTGCAAAGTGAGATATTTCAAGCTGTCTTAAGTGAATTCTAATTTTGATTGAGCTGAATTAAGTAATGGGGCATAGGACTAAACATACTAGACAAGTAGTAAGGAATCTCATTAGGCTAAGGAGGAAGTCAGGAATGATTTTTTAGAAAAAATGGGAAATTTTGAATGTAAGGTTGCTCTAATACTAATTTTACATAAGATAGTAAGACTTTTTGAAGTAAGTTGTTCCTGATTCGAGTTACTGGAGTATACAGAGAGCTGAACTCGGGGAAAACCTTCATTCCCTCAATCTGACTTCTAGACATTCACGTCGATTTAGTGAGCAGTCTTTTAAAAAGACTGCAGTTCTTTGATACCATTACAAAAATTACATTATTTAATTATAAAAATGGTATTGTAGGATAGAATTTAAAAATTTTTAACTATATTAAGGAAAGGAAAATTTTCCTTTCTGTTATATTTAACATTTGCATTTAAAAGACTGAACTGTAGCGATCGTAATTATATACTTAACACCTCAACTGAGTCATCTGTACTGAATACTGTGGCATTTAGAAATAACAACTTTTAAATTTAACATCTATAGAAGCTACTTCTAGTTTATACACTTAAATTTTCACAATGTCCACTGTTTTGCTAATCCTTCATATTGCCATTGCTTCCCTAGAATCAGTCCTTGCTAATGATTTTTTTTCCCCCTGTTTTCATGAGTGTTCTGTTAGGAATCACTTTTACCTTAAAGATACTGCTTCTGTGACTTCCATGATTTGTCATGGAGGATTTGACAGTGTTCTAAATAGAAAACTTGGGAGATTAATTTAATCTTAGTCTATGTTGAAGGCATTTTATAATCAGACAGTTTTTCTTAATATGTTAAGAATTTTCAGTATAGGATTTTATAAAAAAGTATTCCTTTGAATTCAATGGTATATGATTCAGCATTCATCTACTTTCTTGACTGAAATAAAGATTTTCATTGGAGATGGATTATTTACAGGTACTACAAGAATTCCTACTTTTCAAAAAGATAGAAGATGGTATTATTCAAGATTTCCTAAACTATGGTAGTTTCAGATCAACTTAGTAGGTTTTCCATGGCTTCTGAAAAAGAAGAAAACATCAGTTAAACTCGCTGTAGTGTCCGTGTTATGCATATAATTACACTGTGAAGCATCACAGTTTGAAAGCACATGCCTTTGACTTAGAGAAAACTAAATCCTAAAATTTAGTTTATATGTCCTAGGTCCAATTGCTCATTAATAATTACTTTGATTCGATGGCTCAGTTCTTCTGACTCTGCCCTAGTATATATGTGTATGTATGTATGTGTATGAGTGTTTTAAATGCAGGCATGTCCATGCCTGGTACCCATAGAAGCCAAAAGAGGTTGTAAGGTGCCCTAGAATTGGAGTTCTAGATGGTTGTGAGCCACCATGCAGGTGCTGGTGTCTCAACCTTGGTCTTTCTTCTACAAGAGCAGCAAGTGCTCTTAAGCACTGAGCCAACTCTCAAGCCTTCCTTTATTGTGTTACTTTAAAAACAAATTTTAGATACATAATTTCATGTACAAAAGTTTCTTGAACTTTTAAGGGAATATGACTAAGCTAAAACAGTTTTTATTTTACCTAATTCAGCTGCATAATGCCGTACCTTGATCATTTACTACTTTCTTTGGTGTTTAGAAAGTATACTGCTAAATGGGTTCTTTAAGTACTCTCTAGTTAAGTGCTATAGTACTGTTTTATGTCCCTGACATAAACTATGCAATAATAGTCTAATCAAATATGTTTTGAGGAATGAACACTCTTTGGTCTACTTCTATAAGTGCTTTCAAAAACTTCAGATATGTAAAACAGGAAGACCACAAGGGTAAATGTTGGCTAATTTCTGTGAGGATATGTTATTAAATCTTTTCTAAATTACTTTTTTCTTTAAAATTATTTTTAACTTTATTGCTTATCCTTTTGGGGTTGAACAAAAATGCATTGACAACTGAAGTGACTTTTTAGGGTGTAATTTGAGACCATAGTCTTAAACTAGCTAGCTAAAATGTAGTTATACCCTGATAGACCAACCTGTATGTATGTGTGTAAAAACGTTTTCCTATCTCATACAAGGTAATTGTTTGCTTCTTGGTGTCATTTGTGTGGAATTTTGGAATGTGTTATCTCTTACAATAAGTGGTTGAATTTTTTAAATTAAGATTTAAGACAACCTAATTCTCTTAGAAGTAGTTAGTCTTATATTATTGTAGTGCTGCTGGAGTGTGATATTGAAATATATTACTGAAAAGAAATTTTATTTTGTTAATTATAACTTTGATTCTCAGATGCAGTATTTATATTGATAAATAACTGCTATCATCTTTTTAAGAGTTCAGAACATAGATCAGCAGTTTGTGAAGCTATTTTTGTACTGACATTTTAATAGGTTTGGCTACCATAATGGAAAATAGGTTCTTTTAAGGACTGATTATATTTGGATTCTTCTAATGTTTGGATAGTACATTCTTATGGTGCTGCTGGACTTTTGCATTTTGGAGGTACTGCATGTATCTTCTGTTCTGTTAGAGATTTTTTTGCCATTTCTTGTGTGTTTGCAATAACCCATTAAAAGGTATATACAGAAATATTTTCTAGTATATTGCTTTTTACTATAAAACAATATAATAGTAAACACCTGGGTTGATCCGCTCCATTTTTATTGATTATCTAAGCTTCAGAAAGGGACTAGATTAAAGTTACATCTAGACGTTTTTGTGCAGTTTTAAAAACTAAATTTCATTGGCTGTCTTAAGGAACATTTTAACCAATTTTTTAAAAATTAAAGCATTTATATTTAAATGAGCTAAAGTATACCAAAGTGTACTTTTTATAAATTAAATACAGTTTGTAGTTATTTGCAGATGTTACAAATCAGAAAAAAAGTGAGTACTGTTAATAGGCCTAAGTTCTGCCTGTTGTGCTGGCACCTGCCTTTAACCCTAACTCTCTGGAGGCAAGGGCGAGTAGATTTCATGAGTTCCAGGTCAGCCAGGATTATACAGTGCGACCTTGTCTCAAAAACGGGTCTAATTTACCACTTACTGTATATATCCGGGCATGTATCTCTCTCCTTTTTTAGTAATAAAGAGAACCTAGAAGATTATATGTATGGACTAAAGTAAAAATAATTGCTGTAGGTAATTTTTGTTTGGATAAATCTATAAAACTGGAGTTTAATTTTATAAGAAGTGATTTTTTATCACTGATAAAATTATAGGCAAAAATTTTACATTGTACAATTCCCTTATCTGCTACAGTTTGACTTTGCATTGTCAAACTTCAAAAATTATACTAGATTTTTTAAGGTTAATATGAAAGCTAAGATAACTTGAGATCATAACTCAGTAATTTAGAGATGCAGAATTTACTCTACCATAATTGTGAAAGGGTAGCATTTTATAACATGTGCTGTCTTGTTAATTCGCTACTTAATACTGAGCTGCGTTTTCTGCGAACTGAGAAGCAATTTATGTCTTTTAAAATAAAATGCAACAAAGAATATAGTTTTATCACCAAGATTGTTAAGTAGTTTTCTGAGTGGATACACCTAATTTTCTCTCTTAAATTTTTGGAAAACTACTTTTCATTTTCTTCTGAAGTCATCTAAGATTTTGTGGAAATGTTAAAATTTGCTAAAGCCTTTTGTAAGGCATCATCACTCTGTATAGGTTATTTATAAGAAGAAATGTTTCTATGAGATCCAGACATTTCTAAGCTACTTCCAGTGTATGATTAGTTCCTTCCCTGCTGTTACTGTTAGTGAGGAAAGATGTTGCTAGTTCATCTCTAATGCTGTGAGCTTCTTTTTGCAGCTGTCTGATTGGAGTTAGCTATGTGGTAACTGGCCATGGATGAGATTGATGTAGACTATGATCCCTTCCCTTGGAGGACTTTTAAAAATTCCTCCTTTCTCTTTCTGTTCTTAGCAAACCATTGCATGGATTCCATTGGAGAGAGGTCTGCTCTGGCACATAAGGGAAAATGCTTTTATTTCTATTTGACTTTACTTTTTAGAGAATTAGAGATTAAGACCAAGATATAACAAACCTAGGGAGAAGCAGGCATGCTGCATACATAGGTGAAATTTGTGATATGGGTGACGGTAAAGAATGATGAGCTCTGGTTAAGTGGAGTGTGCAAGATATTGAAGGTTTTAGAAGTGAAAGCAGAGGGATGTT